CCAGGGGAGGCGAGGGGGGCAGGATCACCTCCCTGCCCTGCTGGCCACAAATCCTACCAAAAGCCACATACAGCTGCGGCCTGTGGGCACCCCAGAGCTGCTCCATTTGGTGGCCAGAGAGCCTGGACACCCCCACCAAGCTTTGAAGGCATTTGAACCCCTAAGAGTGCAGACAGATGCCCTGTGGGTCTTGGCTCAAGCCACTGGCCCATCTGCCCCACTAGCCCATGTGCAGCTTGGGTGCAGAGAGCAAAGCTGAGGCACCATAGCTATCCTCTCCTGAGCGCCTGGAGCCCATCCTAGCAGTGCTCCACAGCATGGTCCTTCTCATTTCCGTCTGCATCCCCATCCCCATCTCCATCCCATCCCATCCCATCCCATCCCATCCCATGCCCATCTCCATCACCATCGCCATCTCCATCTCCACCTCCATCCCCATCTCCATTACCATGCCATCTCCATCTCCACCACCATCTCCATTCCCATTCCTCATTACCATTTCATCTCCATCTCCACCTCCATCCCCATCTCCACCACCCTCATGCCCCAACACCAACCTGCCTCCTCCCTCTCATTCACTTCAAAGCAGCTCCAATAGTCCTTCTCCTTCATCACGATTTTCCTCCGGTCCAAGATCTCGAAGGTGAGCTCCTCAGCTGTCATCGTGGCTGGGATCTGGGACAGAAGGAACAAGGCTCCATCAACCAGTGGCCCACACCACCCTCATGCCAGCTCAGAGCATGCTCCCACGCCACTACGGCAGTTTGGGTACCCAAAGGACCATCCCTGTCCCCTCTGCACCCTCTGCCCCACCTCTCACCTTGACGTGCTGCTCTGCCTCTGTTTTCTTCTCTTCCAGGTAGACAGTGCAGATGAAGTCCCCGGCTTGCTGGAGGGCAACGGGAAAGCCCTTCAATCTGCAGCTTCCCACGTGTGGGCTAAATCCCTCCCCCCCAGCACGGACACTCCCTGCCTGGGGTATCTCCAGCAGATGCTGGAGCAGACAGTGAGGTCCCCGTGCCAAGAGGGTGGCCTAGGAAGGTCCCCATGTGCAGGACCCACCTGTGTCCCACTGGACGCTGCCTCCCGCATCTTCATGATGGCCATGATCTCGTCCTGCTGCTTCTTCATCTCTTGGTCTTTGACCTGCCAAGGAAGAGGAGCCAAGGAAGCCATCAGACCACCCTTAAGTTTCACTGCAGCAGCAGAGGTGGGTCCCAAGGGGACTCTGCTCCCCTACCAAGCAGAGACAGCATCCTCAGGCTTAGGGGTCTCCAGGGTTTGCAGAAATATGGACCTCCCTACCCCCCTCTCCAAACGAAGGAGATGCCTTCAGACAGAGTAGATCCAGATTCCTCCTCCTTCCACCTCCCCCTCCCCTGGGAACTGTCCACGCATCAGCCTGATCCAAAGCAGTGGCAAAGCTGGGGGGGTGAACCTACATTAAAGATCTCCACGTAGTGGCTGATGAGGTCCTCCACCAAGCGCCCTGCCTTGTAGTCCTTCCCGTCCGTCTGGAAGAGTGTGGGCCCGAAGACAATGGCCAGGTTGTGTGTGTTCATCTGGTTCTCCCCGGAGAAGAGCTGGACCCTGTGGAGACCCCCGTTCTGTTTCCTGCCCCCAAGCCCCTCCAGGCCCTCCCCTCAGCCTCGCCCAGAGGAACAAGCCCCACACCAGGACGTGACGCGTGGCTTGGGGTGCAGCTTGCCCCCAAATTCAACTCCTGCTGCCCAGGCCGTACCGAAAGAGGTGGTTGATAAGCGCCTTGAGCGTGGCCCGGTTGACCGTGGGGAGGGTGCCCAGGAGCCGCCGGTACTCCTCGATCTTTGCTCCCTCATCCTCCAGCGCTGCCAGAGGAGCACGAGGGACAGGATGAGCACAGAGGGGTGGGGACGGGAGATTAAGATCCACAGCCCCACCAGCCCCTCTCCGGACCCCACCTTGAACCCCTGTGTTCCACCATAGGGATGGAGCATCCCAGCAGTGGAGTGTCCCAGGTCCACAAGAATGGACCAGCCCAGGTCCATGGGGCTGGACTATCCCAGCTCCACAGGGCTTGAGTATCCAAGGGCTGGAGCATCCCAGCTCCAAGGGAACAAGGCCCCACAAGACCAGAGCATCCTAGCTCCATGGGGATGAAGCTCAACAGGGCCCAGAGCATCCCAGTTCCACAGGGCCAGAGCATCCCAGTTCCATGGGAGGTTCCCATGGCTGGAGCACCCCTGCTCCATGGGGCTGGAGTATCCCAGCTCAACGGGGCCCAGAGCAGCTCAGCTTCATCCCAGCTCCAAGGGAACAAGGCCCCACAAGACCAGAGCATCCTAGCTCCATGGGGATGAAGCTCAACAGGGCCCAGAGCATCCCAGTTCCACAGGGCCAGAGCATCCCAGTTCCATGGCAGGTTCCCATGGCTGGAGCACCCCTGCTCCATGGGGCTGGAGTATCCCAGCTCAACGGGGCCCAGAGCAGCCCAGCTTGGTGGGGCCACAGCATCTCAGCCCTGCAAGGCTGGATCATCCCAGCTCCGCAGGGCAGAGCTGCCCAGTTCCACAAGCACCACAGCTCGTGGCCGTCCAAGAGCTCGTGGCCGGGCATTTGGAGCTGATCCAGAAGGGACGGAGAGGGGGGGGTCTGGCTCTGGGGACCGTCCCAGCCGCAGCTGGCGCATTTTTTGGGCACGTCCCACCCCCATCCACTATGCCGGTCCCCGGCATGCATGGGGCCCAGATGTGTTCTCAGCTCCTGTGGGAGAGGCCACAGCAGATCTGGGGAACCCGCCCCTGCCCCCCCCATTTCCCCCAGGGGCTCACCCGTGGCCCGCAGCCAGTCCTGGCCCCAGCGCCCAGTGAAGAGCCCGTCGCCCAGGTCGCGGAAGAAGCGTTTGAGGGTGTTGGCCACGTCGTCCACGTGGTGCTCGCCCTCCTTCAGGCGCACGCCGCGGGCGTCCCGCCGCAGCAGCTCCAGCAGGCTGGTGGTCTTGGAGTTCTGCCCACTCTTCCGGTAGATGCCCTCGGACGTCAGCCCTGTGGCAGAGCCGGGGGGGTGAGGCCCTCTCCACGGGGGACAGGCAAAGATCATAGAATGATGGAATCGCTGTGGTTGGAAAGGATCTCCAGGATCATCAAGTCCAGCCTTCCTCCCAACATTGCCCTGACCACTAGACCATAGCCTCAAGCGCTACATCCACTTGAATTTTGAACCTCTCCAGGGATGACGACTCCACCACCCCCCTGGGCAGCACGTTCCAGTGCCTCACCACTCTGTCAGTGAAGAAATTCTTCCTAATATCCAACCAAAATCTTTCCTGGTGCAACCTGAGGTCATTTCCCCTCATCCTATGATCCTATATGGGAGAAGAGACCAACACCAGCCTCACTACAACCTCCTTTTAGATAGTTGTAGAGAGCACCAAGGTCACCTCTCAGTCTCCTCTTCTCTACACTAAACAACCCCAGTTGCTTGAGCACAAGCATCAGCTGTAGCCCAGGAGATTGGGGTTTCTTCTTAGTTCTTGATCCTGCAGTTCCTCCTCTTGCCACCCATGGCCACAAATG